CCTCCTGTTGTAATAGTCTAGCAAGTTCTCCTGGTACTTCATAATCTTCCTCAAATTTGTTCTCAGTTTGGTAGATTGGACTTTCTGTGGCACGGTGGGAGAACTGACTTGAAGGTTTTACATTTGATCGCAAATGTTGCGGTTAGCAAGAGTCGCCACCGACTTTTCTTTTATCCAAAAGGAAAGGTGAAAAAGCACAGGAAAGACCTTTGAGATTGTTTCTTGAGTTCGGGGGTTAGATTATGAAAAGGGAAGGTATTAGCACCCTTTTCATCCATGTTTTTCCATGAGCTCTTAGTTACTTGCTAGATCACTTACTTTTGTTTGAAATTAGTGTGGTTTTTTGAAAGTATTTTGTAAAGAGGCCTTAGTTTAGGCAATCTTCGTAATGATTCTCGTTCGTAAGAATGTATACAAAGATGTTGATCTTTTTAAAATGTTTTCAAGTTTTGTAAGATGTTTTGTAAGATGTTTTGAAAGTGTATGTGATTGTTTTGAAAATGGCAAGGATGTTTGTTTTGAAATGGAGCAAGTAATTAGGAGCATTCTACCTACTCAAAAGTCTTTCTTGTTCATTTCCTTTTCCTTTGACGTTGTTGTCTTACCATTGATTTGGCAAGCAACCCTATCTTTGGATGTTAACGGGACGGGCGTGGGTCATCATATAACCATGATTAGCAATGTTGCAAGGTATCTTAGAATTCTTTTTTGAGGGACTAAGATCATTTGTAAGGCAACTTTAGATAGCGTCATCGAGGGACTATGATCTTGTATTTGCTTGTTTTTGCTAAGATACCTTACATGCGTAATATGGCCATTTTGTAAGGCAACCAAGTGGATTTTACCCTAGGGGTGCTTGTGTGCAAGTGTGTCATTTTCATGCTTGTTTTTGTCTTGGATTAGGGTTTTCTATTTGATTGATTTTATCTTTCCATACAAACCCTAATTACTAGCATATTATGTAAAAGGGATAAATTGCAAAATTTAAAGTTACTACGCTATTACAAAAGTTGTGGGAGGGGTATACAATTTATGAATGGGGATTGCAATAATATAAACCTAATTAATCTATTACAACCAAATTGAATATTGTACAAATAATTGAAGGAATGTATAAAAGTACAAATGCAAATTGAAAGAAAAGATTTTTTGTGTTTGGATTTTTGTATGAAGGAGGTTTTAACCTAAACCTAATTAGAGAAAAAAAAGTAATTAAAATAAATTATCTTAAGTTAATTAAGAAAAGAAATTAATTAAGAAAAGATTTTTGAATAAAATCCTAAATCTATTTTAGTTGATTAAATGAAAATAAGTTTAAAGAAAAAGTATATTTTATATATTTTTTGTCTTGAAGATAATATGTGGTGTTATGAAATATTTTTGATCTTTTTTATATTAAAATAAATATATTTAGATAAATAATAATCTAGTTTTATTTTAATTTACAAGAAAATTAATAAAAGAAAATAAAATATAATGAATAAAAATAATTTTTTATGTGGAAAAAATATTTAAATTATATCAAAATATAAATCTATTATTTTTATGCTCTTTTATGATTTTTTTGGTATTTTTAGAAAATATATTTGAAAGAAAAAGGAATAAATAAATAAATAAAAATAAAATGGGCCAAGGGGTGTCACAAGTAAACAGGGGAGTATGCTAGCAGAAATAAAAAAAAATGCCAAGCCCAAAGGGCCCAGCGCCTGCAAAAAAAGTGTTAGAAAATCAGAAAAATGAAAAAAAAATGCAAAAGGGGGGTTCACATTGGTTCGAACCCTCGCCCTTTAGGTAACACATGACTTAGTATGCGCGTTGTAACGCCCAGAGATTCATTAAATTATTTAAATGAATTATTGAGGATTTAAATTGTTGGAATCTAGTCGAAGAAGGAATTATCGGAATAATTAGTAGGAGCATTATTGGATTGTTAGAATTGATAATCGAATAATTAGTCAATTTAGTCAAGAGAAATTAATATTGGATTTAATGTTGATTTTAGTAGAATGTTATTTTATTAGTTGGGTCAAGTGGGGTGTGTGAAATAGCAAGATTAGGAATAGAATTAATAGGCCCGTTAAAGTTACTAGTAGACCTATTATTATATTAGGTTATAATATATAGAGGTTAGCAACCAAAAGCAAAAAAATTATCACGTAGCAGTAGAAGAAGCAAGGGTTTGGAGGCACCAAGTGGGAGGCAAGCAAATTTAGAGAACTCGCCGTCAAACCAGTTGCAGTTTCAACCGGAGAATTCGACTGACCAAAAAACTAAAGGTAAGGGTGAGGTTCGGATTTTATAACCGGGAATATGATGGTTAACATGTAGGATTGGGGTTAGATGTAATTGTTGTTTGTTCTTGCATAGTTTGTTATTAATATTTTTTATATTTTGTTTTATAATATAAATAACATATATTTAATAAATATAAAATAAACTTGTGTATAATATATACATAATTTTGTTTTAAATAAAATTCTAAAATATTTTTCTATTTTATTTTTCATTTATAAAAATTATACTATTAATTTACTAACATAATTTCATTTATAAAAATTATAATATTAATCAAATTTAAAAAAAAATTACAAAAATACCTCTCTTGAATCTCCTTCAATCTTTTTGTTCTATCTTTTTCAAATCCTCTTCAATGTTCTACAATCTTTTTCTTATGAATTTCTTGAAGAAAAAAATTAACATAAATATAAATCATATATTACAGAATAAAATTAAACGAAATTAAAAATAAATAAATTGGAGAAGATGATTACCTTTGAAAATTTAATGTTGAATGGAAATTGGAGAAGAAAGATGATGAAATACAGAAGGAAGGAAGAAAGAGAGAAGAAATTGAAGAAAGATATGATAATGAAAATATGACTGCATCTGTGAAACGAATATATATATATATATATATATATATATATATATATATATATATATATATATATATATATATATATATATATATATATATATATATATATATATATATATATATATATATATATATATATATATATATATATATATATATATATATATATATATATATATATATATATATATATATATATATATATATATATATATATATATATATATATAATCAGCGACGTGATAATCACGTCGCAACCTTGCCACGTGATTATCACGTCGTAACATCCTAACGATCATAAATTTTATTTATGACTCTGCACCCACTACGCGCGGTCAACGTCAGGCATAAAGCTTTCCCTTTTAAAAGGTTGCGACGTGAATTTCACGTCACATTTTGAAATTTGAAAATTTCAACATTCCCACCATGTGCAGTTCTTCACTATCTGAATTTTATAATTTAATTAACAGGTTGTGACGTGGAATTCACGTCGCAACATTTTTTAGAAAAAATATTCCTTCACTCCCCCCGTGTATTAACGTTACTTTTTATATTTTAGGCAAAATACTCATTTTTGTCCTTTAACTATAACCTTGGGTTCACATTGGTCCCTTAACTTTTTTTCGTGTCATTTTGGTCCCTTAACTTTCAAAACATTTCATTTCAGTCCTTTTTGTCTAGTTAGCGACGGATTTAGCGACGAATTTCAAAGTTTTTCCGTCGGTAATTAGATAAAAATGACTGAAAAAAGGACTGAAATGAAATGTTTTGAAAGTTAAGGGACCAAAATGACACGAAAAAAAGTTAAGGGACCAATGTGAATCCAAGGTTATAGTTAAGGGACAAAAATGAGTATTTTGCCTATATTTTATTATTAAAATCATGTAGCGACGTGATCATTACGTCGCAACCTAACACGTCACAACTTTACCTTGCTGAATAGTATTTATCTTGTAGTAAATAGACATACCATAAATTATTACAAATAAGCGTGGGGAACTCCATATATACCTTTTGTTTCATGTTCGGATTTTAGTTTATCAAATATTTGTTTATATTTTCTCTTATACTAATTCTGATATGCATAATATGACATGGATAAGAAATTTAAAACCAAAATAATAAGAATAAAAAGCAATTTTCCTATGTTACATGAATATAAACACAAACCTTAACAAATTTGTATAGAGATTAAAACTGAAAAATATGTATAAAGTCTTAAAAACTAAATTAATCTAAAGTTTTTTTTATCATTTATTTTAAATAGTACGTAGTTACAGAAGTAATGAAAATTTCACATAGGTAAAGGACCACTGAACCACTTAGATTTAGTGCTTCGACAGGTGGCAAGGAAGAGAAAAGAAAAAAAAAGGACATAACTCAACATAAATTTAATATATATATATATATATATATATATATATATATATATATATATATATATATATATATATATATATATATATATATATATATATATATATATATATATATTAAAATTCTAATTTATATATGTATTGAATTAAAAAATACGAATGCTGAATTTTTTATTTACATATTCTTTATTATATTATAATTTAAAAACATCAAATAAAATACTCTATGGCCTATTGCTGAAAGTTCAATAATTCAAGGTGATTATGGATGAGACTTAGACTCTTTATTCAGCTGAAAGTTATTTATATCGACATCAAGTTTAATATTTATTCAAGCTGAAAGTCTAATCACCTTAGACCCTAATGTTCATCCTGAATAAAATGGGCTCATCCATAATAAATTAAGATAATCTAAGGCCTTACTTTAATATTCATTCAGAACCACAACTTGGTGACTTCAGTTAAATATAGATATACTTCGTGTAATATATACTGTTTTGACAAAAGCTCATATACAGAACACAAAAGCCACCGAGGGAAGCAAACTAATATTGATAAAAAATTATTATTAATAGAATACCAATTTGCAGCCAAACTCTACTATAATGTCATTAACCAAGTTTGAATAATGGTAGACAATATATTTTTCAAACTTTTTGAAATCGTTAAGTAGATAGTGGCTAGTCTTCTTGTCTGAACCATAATCAATGTTTGGCATCAAAGTAACTCCTTTGAACTTTATGGCATCATTTGCAACTCAAATTCTCACGTACATACCAGTCTTGAAAACCCTTTAAAAACAAAATTGGAAGTGATGATAACATCAATCAGCAAACAATTGGTCTAAATTACCAACAATAGATTCAGTAAGGAAAATATGCAGATGAGCTAACATCCTCCAATTTTAATAATAGCATAAAAATATTAGAATCAAGTTACTATCAAGTTACTATCAGGTATAAATTTAATGAATTCAAATAAACTTTAACCAATAAAAGTGTGTTGAAAAGAGTTTATTGCTAGCATAATTCAACCGACACCAAAAACCTTAATGGTGGCATAGTACACATGCTTCAAAATTAAACCACGACTTCTAACCAACTTTATCTAGAATGAACATGATGACAAAGTACCCTTGGAACATGGATTTTAAGATTAGACAGAATAGTAGTTATATAAGATATGCATAAAAGTAAGTCTATGCACTTTGAACAGCATTACTAACCTGTATGAGTCGTTCGCAGTCGCTTAGCCACACATGGATAGGCAACCTATTTGACATACTGAGGTTAATGTTGTAGTAACAAATAAGGTATGATAGAAAAGGGACAGTTATGACAATTGGCACATAATTTTTTATTTACAATTACAAAGTTATATGGCTTAGTATTTGTAATTATTTTTATTCAAATACATATTATGAAACCGACTTCATTCTTTAAATGCAACATTACTTATAAAAGAAAAATTTGCAATTCTTAAAATAAACTGCATGCAGCCTTTAAATCAACTTGAAATCTGGACAGGTAAAAAATGGGAACTTTTCTGGGATTCGAATGGGATAATTGTAAACCAACTGGTTAAACTTTCCTGCAGTATATTCATTAATATATCAGTTAAGAATTTATGAAATTATACATGATAAAAAGCTTCTCATTCCTGTATTCCCTATACAAGTCCAGAAAACAAACATTGGATCATTAGACGGAGAACAGTATAATTTAGATACTCTAAAACAATGGGTGCACTTTGAATAGTGAAGTGCGGATTAACTACAACGAAACATTAACACCTGCATGAGAAACTATCCAATCGCTAAAATCTCAATCAATGTCAGTTATAATTCTGCACTTTACCCTTTAAAACAAACTCTTCATTATAAAGGAGTCAATTAAATTAAATTAAATTGCTCAGAATTTAAATTGGTTGAAATAAAATAGAGAAATTAAGAATTTACCTGCTCCGGTTAAAGAGAAAAACCGCATCATCTAGCATAATCACAGCCGCAGAATCATCAAACATCTTTGCAACCTTAACCGCTTGATCATAATCCGAGCAATACTCAGAACAGATCCTAACCAACTCAGAAACTGTTATGCAACTTTTCGCAGAACCTCTCAACCTCGCTTTCACTGATTCCATCTACACGCCACTTTCAACAACTTCTTCACATCACCGGCGTTAACATAGACCATTTCCGTCCTCTCCGGTAGAGGCTTTAAATTGATGGAAGAAAGAAAAAAAAAACAAAAGCAGAGAATAAGAATGAAATTGACGAAAGTGAATCCCAGTTCCATACTTGTTGAAAGAACAACATCAAAAAAGTCAGATACGATACGTTGTCAGGACGGAAGCAGTCGACAGTATTTGTGGTTAGAGAACTTGCGGCAGCTTCACGGGCAGAGGGACGGTGCGCCGAGCAGATCATCAAAAGGCAACCACACCCACGAGACTTCCGGCTCATCTTGCAAAGCAAAAATAAAGTAATATTGATTGGGCTATATCAAAATTAAAATAAATATTTCTACTAATCTCTATGTTAATGTTATTATTAGATTGAAATGGCAACAACAATATCAAGCAGGCTCCTAGCATTTGTGCCCTGTTCAGGTAACTCTGAAGGGGTCTGCCAATGATTACGTTAGCAAATGTTAAGAGCAAGGAATTTATAGTTATAAAATTTCTTTAAAAGCAAATATACCTTTAAATATTAGTTTCCTTTTGATGCTGATGCACCATTACACATCAACAACCTAATTAAATCAGCATGATCACCTCTTCGAACATGATAAAGAGTGTTTATTGTTATTGTCTCTAAACCATGAAATCGTGAGAAGATGAGGAGTGATTTCGAGAGGAAGCGATGAATATGATGAACACGTGTGAGAGATGAACGAAAGTTAATGTGAGAGAGAAAATAAAGGTTTGTGGAAACTGTCATTGGGAACTGCATATTGTAACTGCCATGTGTTGTGGACAGGAAGGAAGAAGGAGAGGAGCAGTTCGTAAGAGAGGGAAAACGACGTGAGAGAGAAGGAAGTTGAAAGATTAATGAGTGTTGAGTCCTGAGGAAGCCATGTGACAAGTTGTAAGAAAACAGGAGTCGATTTTCTTATATGATAGATACGAGAAATTAAATTGAATATTATGTATTTTATTAAAATTTAACTCAATGAAGAAATAGATCATTTTTTTTTAAAAAGTACATAAAGTTGGAGAGAAATTTTAAATGTGATCTATATAAACCTTTGTTGACAAATTTAAATAAAAAATATAGTAAATTACAATTATTTTTTGGTAACAATGAAATTTTTATTAAAAATAAATTGTAATTTAATACCATATAATCAAATATTTTTTATTTAAAAAATATGTAAAAAACTGTTACTTCATTCTTTCTTCATTCCTTTTGTTTTTGGTTTTTGTTATATAATAATTATTTATGTATTTACTTTTTTAAATTTTTATGTATTATCTTCATTATAATGTCTATTTGTTAAAATTTTAAAGGCCATTAAATGAGAGTTAAACAAAATAAAATTAAAAATTGTGAAAATTAAAGTTAAAAAAATAAAAATAAAATAATTGAAACTCACGATTTAATGAATAGTTAAGAAAATTAAAAAAAGTGAATATCAATTAAGAGATAGAAAAGATATTTATCTTTCATAAAATATTTTTTATCTTATCTTTTACTTGAGAGATATTTTTTGATGAGGTATAGGTAAATATAAGTTTTAAAATATATTATCAAATTTTAGCTATGAAAATTTTAATATAAAAGTATCATAAAATTATAAGAGTCTTTGTCATAATATTTTTTAATCTTAATTTTTTGATTATTTTTAATAGACAAAAGAAGAAGAAAATGTAATGTTTTACACTAAAAGACACTAAAAGTTGAACTATATAAATAAAAATGAAAAATAATAATTAGAAGAAATGGAATTAAAAACGTGAGAATTAAAGAAATAACATCATTAAAATGAACTTTTTTTATATATTATCATTCTAGTGTATTAGTTGATCAGTAAAATGAAAATTAAAGAAAATATAATTATAAAGTATAAGAATTAAAGTTTAAAAAAATGATGAATTTTATAAACGGTGAATTCAAATGAAATTAGAGAGGGGGAGTGGTTGAAGAAGTAATAAAAATGATTTATAATTAAAAATATTAATGGTAAATGAATAATTAATATTGTTTTATAGTTTAAAAAATAAATAAAAACGTCTCCCTCTTATTCATTCCAAGTTAAAGAAAAATATAATAAAGATTAGAATTTATAATTTAAAAACTTAAAAAAAGTAAATATTTTTATGAGTTTTTATTTTATTAAATTTAAAAAAATTTAGATAGTAAGAATAAGAAATTGTAAGAATTAAATTTTAGAAAATGGATAATTTTTTAAACAGGCAATTCAATGACAATTTAAGGGAGAAAGTAGTAGAAGAAGTTATAAAAAATAATTTGAATTTAAATATATTAATGATAAAAGAATTATTAAAATTAATTTATAATTATGAATGAATTAAATTTTAAAAATGAATAGTTTTATAAAGAACTAATTCAATGACCATTTAAAGGAGAATTATTAAAGAAGTTATAAAAATAATTTATAATTAAAATATATTCATAGAAAATTAATTATTAAAATTAATTATTAATTATATTATTTTTATTATCTTTTATAATTTTATATAATAATAAAACTCAAGCATATTAGAAAGTGTCCCTCTACCATACATTTCAAGTTTAAAAAATTATACAACAACAATAATAATTACGCCTTATTGGGGTCGACTACATGGATAAACTTTCACTATAATATTCTATCAAGGACTATGTTTCTATCCAAATCATTAATTTCGAGATCCTTTTTGATAAGTTCTCTTATAGTCTTTTTGGTTCTTCCTCTTCCTCGAATTGTTTGTCTTCCCTCCATCTAATCTACTCTCCTTACTACATAGTTTGCAGGTCTTCTCTCTACATACCAAAACCATCTAAGTCTATTTTCCACCATCTTCTCTATAATAGACGCTACTCCAACACTCTCTCTAATAATTTCATTTCTAACTTTATCCTGTCGAGTCTTACCACACATCCACGGCAGCTTCCTCATCTTCGCTACACCTACTTTATTCTCGTGTTGGTTCTTAATCGTCCAACATTTTGTTCCGTACAAAATCGTAAGTCTTCCCGCAGTCCGATAAAACTTTCCCTTTAACTAGAGTGGTACATTTGCATCATATAAAACACCTGATGTCTTTCTCCATTTCATCCATCCAACTTGAATACGATGATTTAAATCCTCTTCTATTTCTCCATCATTCTGTATTACGGACCCAAGATATTTAAACTGTGTGACTTGAGAGATAATATGGTCTTCTACTTTCGCCTCTAAGTTAGAAATCTTGCTTCTTTTGTTGAACTTACATTCCATATACTTTGACTTACTTATGCCTAGGAGAAAGCCATGTGTTTCTAAATCTCTTCTCCAGGTTTCCAACCTCTCATTTAACTCCTCCCTGACTCTCCAAGGAGGACTATATCATCTGCAAAAAGCATGCATCTTGGCGCTATCTCTTGAATTTGTTCCATGAGTACATCCAAAATTAAGGTAAAAAGGTAGGGGCTTAGGATTGACCCCTGATGCAAACCAATTGTGATGAGAAAATCGTATGTCTCTCCACCTTGTGTCCTAACACTAGTTGATACCCTTTCATACATATCTTGGGTAGCTCGAATATATGCAACCCTAACCCCTTTATTCTCAAGAACTTTCCACATAATCTCTCTAGGAACTCTATCATACGCCTTCTCCAAGTCAATAAAAATAAAGTACAAGTCTTGTTGGTCCATTCGATATTGCTCCATCACCTGCCGTAATAGATAAATCGCTTCCATGGTCGACCTTCTCGGCATAAAACCAAATTTAATCTCAGTAACTTGAGTCACTTTTCTTAATCTCCGTTCAATCACTCTTTCTCATAATTTCATGGTATGACTCATAAGCTTGACTCTCCTATAATTTGCATAATTTTATATATCCCCTTTGTTCTTATAGATAGTGTTGTACCCCAAAATTTACCCTCCCATTTCCTCAACATTTTCTCACCACAAGACCCTTGGAGTTCAAGATCCAATTAGGGTTTCCTCTGCTCAAGACTTCTCCTTGCACTGTTGACCCAAATTAGGGTTTGTGTTTGCACAAAGATGTTTTGACCTAAAATGCCTAAGATGACTTTCATGCTTCATATTGGACTCCCAAGTTTATCCCTACCAAGTTTCAAGCCTTGATTCCAATCTTTGCCCAGTCAATTGGACAGTTGACCTAGAAATCAGCTGTATTGGGGAAAAAGTCAAATGTGGTCAATTGACAGTCAAACCTTATGAAATTTGACCCACATCAACATGATTAACTCATATGGACTATTTGGTCAAGTTTGGATCATAATTCCACAAGAAATTTGATCAGATCACCAAAAGGGCAAAATGGTCATTTTTAGGGTTTTGACTGCACAAAGGCAATTTTTGACTGTTTGACCTAGCCAATGGCAAACCAAGCTCACATATGGACTCAAGGACCCCATGGAATTGTCTTGACATGTTCAAAAAGTTCAAAAGATCCCAAATGCACAAGATTGACAGATGAATTTTCCAGTCAATTGATCAATTTTTGACTGTATATTGAAAAGTCAAACTTTGACTTTTTGGTCAAAATCAAGTGTCAAGATTCATTTTTCATCAAAACATGTCAAAACATGAAACTTGTTCATCAAGAAATCAAAAATTGCAAATTAAGGTTTAAAATGAAGAATTTTCATAACTTAGAATTTTTCTAAGTTATGAAAATCCCTAATTTTTTCCTAAATTTGTCCCATTTTTTCATCAAGATACATTTGGATTCAAGGAAAACTCAAAACATGAAAGTTGTAGTCCATTGAAAAATCTATAACTTTGATTCACAAAGTTTCCTCAAAAGAAGCTTGTAGCTCAAGTTATGATTTTTGGAACAAGGGTGCAAAACATTCTTAACTTAGAAAAAATTTGACCTATTCTAGGCAGGATTTTTGCCTAACTTCATGGCCACTTTTCACATGCTTCCACTTGGAATTTCAATTTTCATTACAAAGATGGATTGTAGTTCACATTCCAAGCTTTCCAAAATGTCCAAGAACTCATCAAACAACCTTGTGGTTAGGGAGAATCGAATTTGGCAATTTGAGCAAAAGTCACTTTGATTCATGGCCATGTACATGTTTATACACTTTGCAATTTTTCAAATCAGCATGAGCAAGCTAGTTACAGGCCTCTAATCCTTATCTTACTCAATAATTAAATGCCAATCCATTGTGTTTTAGCTTTGTTTTGTTCATATAGTCATTACACAAAGAATTAAGCCTTAATTGGAAAAAGTGATTTATCCATTTTTGTAAAGTAGAACTTTATGTCAAGTTTGAAAATCAAGAGGTACAATGCATATCTTTGGACACAAGATTCATGGGCATAACACACTGATCAAGACTAAAAGATGCAGCACATTTGAGGGGCCTGTACAAGCCTAGAAACCAAGTTGGCATTTCCTTGCTTCACATAGAAGAAACCTTTCATTTTGAAACACAACTCTCATTGCTGCAAGAACTAGCTTAGACAAACTTGTTAGACACATTCTGTTGTACCCCAAAATTTGCCCTCCCATATTCTCCAAGAAATTGCCAAGCCAAGTCACAAAATTCCCCAAGGGTTACACAGTCAAAGATCTCCTATACAGTCAAAACTAGGGTTTGTGTTCTGGTCAAGAAAATGAAGTTTCCAAAGGCCCAATCAAGTCTCACATGTCTACAAATATGGTCAAGCATCCTCATATCAATTTTCAAGACATTCAGCTCAAAATTGCACAGTCAAAACCCTAATTGCACTACAGTCAACTGTAGGGGCAAAATGGTCATTTGGCAGTCAAAAGTTCAAATTTTTGGTCAACATATCATTTTGAAGCCACAAACATCATTTGATCAATGCTTGATCATGATTCTCAAAATTTGGCTCAGAACTCATCAAATTGCAAAAGT